TTCTTTCTCATCATTGATGTTTCTACCTCTCTTCCTCTCTGAAAATCAATTAAAAAACACATTTTTAAAAAAGTGGTTGCTAGAGGCTGGGGGAAGGGAACAATTATATATATATATATAAACTAGAGGCACAGTGCATGAAATTCATGCACAGGTAGGGTCCCTAGGCCTGGCTGGTGATCAAGGCCAATCAGGGCCTTCTGGCTGCCAGCCGGGGCCTCCTTTCTCTGGCTGCCAGCTGCCGGCCAGGGCCTTCCTTCGTTCCGTGCCACTCTCTGGTGGTCAGCACATGTCATAGCGAGTGATCAAACTCCATCTCCTGGTTGAACTCCCAAGGGGACACTTTATATATTAGCCTTTTATATAGAGAGATACTATTGATGCCCAGCCAGTGTAGCTCAGTGGTTGAGTCTCGACCTATGAACCAGGAAGTCACAGTTTGATTCCTGGTCAGGGCACATGCTTGGGTCTCAGGCTCAATTCCCAGTGTGGGGCATGTGGGAGGCAGCCAATCAGTGATTCTCATCATTGATGTTTCTATCTCTCTCTCCTTTCCGCTCTGAAATGAATAAAAAATATTTTTTAAAAAAAATGTTAAAATACTATTGAATTGTACACTTAAAAGGTAGATTTTATGGTATGTGAATTATATCTTAAAAAAAAAGAGGTCCATAGAGCTTTTTGGTGAGATGCAAGTCAGAGGTATGGCAAACTGACACTTTCTTTGGCAAATAAAATTAGTCTCCTTACTAAGTGACTTTTTAAATTTTATATATATATATATATATATATATATATATATATATAGAGAGAGAGAGAGAGAGAGAGAGAGAGAGAGTTTTTAGAGAGGGAGAGGGAGAGAGAGAAACATTGATGAAATATGGACCGGCTGCCTCCTGCACATCCCCTACTGGGGATCAAGCCTACAACCCGAGCATGTGCCCTGACCAAGAATTAGAGGGTGACCTCTTACATGGGACAACACTCAGTCCACTGAGACACACTGGCTGGGCTAAGGAACTCTTTCTGGAACAAATTCTAGCACCTAAAACAAGCACTTGGTAAGTCCTCAGTAAATGATTACCATAGGCATAAAAAAGGGGGGGGCGGGGGGAAGAGGCATGAGAAATTAAGATTTGAAAGCATTTAAAAATTATGTCATGATTTGAGAAAGGCTACTCATTTAAACCATATATAAAAGCAAGAGAAGTTATATCATTGAAAAAACCTAGCAACTGATTTTCTCTATTGCTGTCAGGTTGGGCAAATCTACCTAAAAATACTGGGTTGTCTTCACTCATTGTATCACCTATCAGCCTAAGGATCTCTGACTCAGACCCTCACCCCAGAGAAGAAATCTTGTAGACAGGTTCTCCCTCTCTCTCTTAGACACTTCCCTCCTACAGAATCCCAATGAGACCAGGCTCATTCCTATTTCTTGTTTAAGAAGGAGCTTGTCAGGATTGACAGAAAAGTAACCAATCTTTCCCAAGGAAAGCAACTTACTTTCCATGCCATTGCTCCTAAAATCACTGATGCTGCTACAGGAAAAAAAGAGACCAGCTGAAGTTGGAAATATGATTCCTATAAGGATAGGACCCAGCAGGTTCAGGATAAAGGGACCCATTAACATCTTTTGACCACCTATTAAGTGGCAGGCACTGTGAGCTCTTACAAAGGCAAAATCCATGCCCTCAAGGAGCTTGCAGTCTAGTGGGGAAATGAGGGTGTAATTATTCTAGTTATAAAACCATGAAGTGCTAGATAGAGATAGAAACAATTTGTCCTGAGTGCAAGTGATTCATTCTAAGAAATCAAGAGAGATTTCTCAACTGTGGTACTTATGATTCTGACAGAATAGATGTGTTGGGCACAGCAGAGTTGAGAACACATGAAGAGTAAAATTCATGGATGTGGCAGGAAAATTTAATCAGGATCTAACTGGAAAAGGCCTTAGGTCTACACTTTAGTTTATACTTATGATAGCAGCATAAGGGCCTTTCTGCCAACATGAACAGTTTGGAGCCCGAGACATCTGCTAGGAGCCCATTGCAGTGAAGATGAGGGGTTGCTCAAGCAGTTAAAGAATGGAGAGAATGGATAGGATATTGAGTTGACTAAACATACAAAACTATAAACAAGAGTCCAGAGAATGAATTAATCCTCCAAGATCCAAAAGATTTATAAGGATTTTTGATGGCTATTTAGTGCCTCCTGGTGGATAGATGAGACCTTCCCAGCATTAACAGCATCAAGCCACTTCGATGTTTCTTCTTCCAGTAAATCGTACAGCCTCTTGCTAATCAGCTTCTGCAGAAATCTGCACTCAGATTACAAGGCACTTAGTTGAATCTAGTTAAAGACAGACCCTCCAATGCTACCAAGTCACATATAGTACAATAAATGATCAAATGCTAAATTAAGTGGTCAACTACCCACCCAAGAATTCAGAACACCAAACCATTTAAGAGGTAGATTAAAGATTTGTAGATATGGAATAGAGCCATTTTTGAAGATTACTTAAGAATCTGGGTCTGAGGCAATCATGGACAACGTATCCTGGGATCATGAGTGAATGGCACGGACAGAAGTTTAAATATTTGAAGTCCTCTAAGTAATGGAGATTCTATGAAAGTTTGAGTGGGGGTGATTACAGTACCCAAGGATTTTAAGACTAATCTGACATTAGAATATAAAATGGAGAAATTAGGTTATTAATATGACCAAGTAACTGAACTACAGACAGTCCTCGGGTTATGTCAGACTCAATGTACATCATTTCGTGATTATGTCACCATTCCCCATCCTATATAATAAAGAGGAAATATGCAAATTGACCGTCACTCCACCACAAAGATGGCGGCGCCCACAGCGGAGGTGGGGGTTTCCGTAACACAAGATGGCTGCACCCACAGTGGAAGCTGCTCCCGTAACGAGCCTTAACGAGCAATCAGCAGGGACTTGAGGCTGTGCCGTCCACCCCCCACCCCCCCCCCCCCCCCCGCCCTTTATGGGGGTTTAAAAGGGAA